CCCCAAAACCCCAAAACCCCAAAACCCCTCCAAAAATCCTAAATGATATTTAATATTATACATGAAGCGAAACTGGAGGAGAAAATGGAATATACCCAAACTCTTTAGAGGTAAGCAACTCATTGACTATGATATGTAGCCGGAGCTTTATCACCAATCCAGTTACCACCAAAGTTCTTTAGAAATGTAGGCATTGTACCAAAATTTAGGACAAGTCAATATTGATGAGTGTCTACCAAGTCCCTCAGGGGCATTCAAAATCGTTCTCACACTTACGTAATGCAATATCCTCAACCTAACATAGCTAAAAGACGACGTAACAAATCCCGAATGGAGAAGGTTAGCAAGCTAATCTCTAAACAGCTTCTTGATGAGAAAAAGGATGAAGGTAACCAAACCCAAGCATTGCTTGCAAAAATGCTCAAATTTAAATCCCATTCGTCTCGATTCCTTCCTAACAATTGTTTTTAGAAAATTCCTTGTACGAGTCAAGCAAGGACAGCATGAAGTCAGCATCCCAAATCTCCTTAGTAGGAATAACTCATATTTTTAGAAGAACAATATCTCATATAAAAGGTTCAGGCCAAGACCGATCCAGAGAATGAGCACCAAGGTCGACAAATACCTCAACAAAATAATGATTTCAAATAAGAACGAGCCTGAAATATAACTTTCCCGAAGGCTCTAAAGAACAACAAAGCCATCTCAATCCGTACTGCTCAATCGATAATGTTTAGATTCCAAACAAGGAATTGGGACGAATACCTCCTTTCATTCTCCAAAGAAACTCCAGTTTCGAGAAACCTACTCAAGCATTAGGAAGGAGACGATTACGAATCGGACCCAGAAATCCAAGCAAAATTTGAAAATCATTCTCAAAATGAAGAAATTGAAGTCCAGAATAGGTGTGTGCCAGTACAAACTACTTCGAACACTTAGCTTTAATGCAAAGATGGAGCTCGCTTTTGTTGAAAAAGAAAATATTACACCAATAATCACTGAAGCCTTCGAAAAATTCAAATCTGACACAGTCTATTATAAAGAAATCAAGCTCTATGGCACAAAAATCAAGATCAAGAAGCAACGGTTCAAAACTGACAATAAGCCTACTAAACTATTCATGAACAAAGTACGGACCAAGATAAAGGAGCTTGAAGAGTTACAAGCCCTTGACAAGGGAAAGTAAGATTCACTAGTCTAGCTTTAGGCCCCAAGGACAGCAAAAGAGTGCTAAAAACAGGTACATCACGCACCAAAGTACACAGTTTCTGGATAACTCAACCATCTCAAGTATTCTAGCAGACTCATTACCTAGGACATTACACTGGAGTTCATGAAGTCTCAGGAATATTATGATGTATTTATGCCCAAATAAAATCATCAAAGGTAACCTTATTGGTGTAACAGTAGATCTACGTGACTGTGAACCCGAGCTATGGGCCTGAGAAATGATTCAATACATCTTTCTACCCTATAATCAAAGACATAGGTGAGCCACTGGCTAAATTATAGACTCAATCAACTTACAATTCGAGGTCAATAGGCTATTTTTTATCAAAAATGACAAGAAGTTAGCACTGAGGTACTACAATAATTACTCAGGTTGCATGCCTCAGAAGAGAAGTGAATCTGTTATAAATATATGAAAGCTGGATACACTCAACCATTCTCAATTTCAAAAATTGTACTCCATTGCTCACCTGTAGGGAGGACAAGAAGTCACCTTGAAAATAACCAGAATAGCTTAAAATACCAAAGTATTCAACTATGTTCATATTTAAGCTGGCCAGCAGCCTCAAGAAACCCATGATATGCCTCTCCAGAGGAAAGACTTGGTGATAGAGAAACAACCAGATCAATCAAAACAGAAGAAGCATTTGTTCTATACAACTGAATTCCTTTAGTAACAACCATGTCTCAGCCTATAGTGAACAAATGGGGTAAACTCTTCATTGAAAAACCTTTATAGCCAATACGTGCCGTCCGACTTGAGCGAAAGAGACTCCTGTAAGCTTAGATCCAGCTAAAATATAGTCCTAGCATCTTCAAATTCAAGTAAGTGTCTCTAAACTAACCAGAGGAGCTATAAACTCCCAGAGAAATTCAACTAAATCTTCTAACCCAGGGGTTTTGGGGTTTTGGGGTTTTGGGG